TGCATGTGCATGTATACGTGTCTGTGTCTCTGTCTGTATGTGGGTGTGCATACTTGAGTACATATGTCCATGGAAGCCAGAAGAGGTTATAGGATCTCCTGAAGCTGGCATTATAGATAGCTGTGAACCACCTGATGTAGTTGCTGGGAACTGAGCTCATGTCTCCTGCAAGAGCAATGTATTCTCTTAACAGCTGAGTCTTCTCTGTCGCCCCTACTATATTCTAAAAAGATAAATACTCATTATTTAAGAAGTTCTGCCTATGGAGACATAAACAATAGTAAGTATTAGGCCGTTAGAGAAGGAGGACTGTAAAAAGTGATTTGCTGAAGTATTTTCATGTGTTAATAGAAATGTCAAGACTAGAAAAGCAAGCTAGCCTGACCTAGAGCTTTCTTCACAACTTACAAAATCCCAAAGCAGTAAAAAGCCATTTAGCACAGGAGTTTATCAATATATGAGTTCTGTGCATTACTTTGGTTCACTGTGTCATTTCAGTGCCCATCTACTCTTCACACCCTTTCTTTGATTTGACCACTGCCCACAAAAAAAATTCCAGTATCTTCAACCTGATCTCTCTCTCTTTTCCCCCTGCCATGTATGTGTGTGTGTGTGTGTGTGTGTGTGTGTGTGTGTGTGTGTGTGTGTGTGTGTGTCTTTATCTGTCTCTGTCTTTCCCCAACCCATTCTGACTGATGCTATAACTTTGGACCACGCATATAGTGGGCAAACACTCTATAACTGAGCTACATCCCCAACTTTACCTAATCTTTTCTATGCTCCAGTGTTAACTTGGGGTCTCATTTCAGTTCTGTTGTCTGAGTTTGTAGGGTCCTTGGCACATTGCTTAAAGGCTACAAAGATTTCTTTACCATTGAAATAGAACTGTATACCTACTTCAGAGCTTAAAACTCAGTGAAGTATATGCATAAACATGACATAGAAAGGATTCAGTTAATACTAGAGATTATGATTGACCAGATTTTCTTAGTGCATGAGGATACTTACTCTTCTGTTGTACAAATGCCTATCATTCATTGATATCATTGATTTACATGTGCTTTCAAAAGACTCAAAGAATGGGAAACAGGAAACAACCCCTAAAAGGTATTTCATAGTTCATGCCGTTAACAAATGTGGCTATATATATTAAAAACAATGAATGTTTACAGAAAGGAAGAAAGAAGGAAGGAAGGAAGGAAGGAAG